CTCTTTTTCTCCCTGTCTCTCTCTCTCTCTCTCCTCTCTCTCCTCCTCCTCTCTTTTCCTCTCTCTCTCTCTTCTCTCTTCCCCTCTCTCTCTCTGTCCCCTTTCCCCCTGCTCTCTCCTCCCCTTTTCTCCCTTTCTCTCTTCCCCTTTTCCCTCTTTTCCTTCCTCCTCTGCCCCTCTCTTTCTCTCTCTTCTCCGTCTTCTCTTTTCCCCTCTCTCTCTCTCTCTTTTTCCTTCTTCTCTTTTTCTCTCGCTCCCTTCTCTCTTCTCTCTCCTCCCCGTCTCTCTCCCTCTCTCTCTCCTCTCTCCTTCTCTCTTCCTCTCTCCTCCCTCTTCTCTCTCTCTCTTCTCTCTCTTCTCTCTCTCTCTTTTTCTCTCTCTTCCCCTTTCTCTCTCTCTCTCCCCTTTCTCTCTCTCTTCTCTTTTCCCCCTTTCTCCCCTCTCTCCTCTCTCTCTCTCTCTCCCCTCTTCCCTTTTCTCTCTCTCTCTCTCTTCTCTCTCTCTCCTTCCTCCTCCTCTCTCTCTCTTTCTCTCTTCTCTTTTCTCTTCCTCTCTCTCCTCTCTCTCTCTCTTCCCCTTTTCTCCTGTCTCTCTCTCCTCTCTCCTCCTCCTTCCTCTCTCTCTCTCCTCTCCTCTCTCTCTCTCTCTCCTCTTCTCTCTCTCCTCCCCTTTTCTCTCCTTCCCCTTCTCCTCCCCCCTCCCCTTTCTCTCACTCTCTCTCTCTCTTTCTCTCTCTCTTTTTCTCTCCCCTCTCCCCTTCTCTTTTCTCTCTCTCCTCTCTCTCTCTCTGTCTCTCTCTCTCTCTCTCTCTTTTTTTTTTTTTTTTTTTTTTTTTTTTTTTTTTTTTTTTACACAGGGTTTGAAAAGGGTTAAGGATCCCACTTATTGACACTATTTACGGGTTAAAGGTTTCCTAACTTTATTGGCAAGCTAAGAGTGTTACCTACTTTCGCTCTTTGAAAGCATTTTTTTATGAACATACAAGTAGGGAACAGGATGAAGTTGGACCACTGGGCCACTTTTTTTCCATTGATCAACGACGTTATCTCGTTGACATCATTTGTGTACAATGTTTTCCATACTCGAGTCATCCGGGGTATTATGATCTAAATGGAGTGATTTTTCGGAGAAGGGTACAGCCAGAGTGAAGTTGCGCTTTCTGCCCGTCTTTGGCATAAAATTTTTGTTCCACCTTCCCAAGTGGATCCAAGTGGGTTTTTTGCAATTTGGCCTTTTACAAACAAAAGGCCCACCCACATCCCTCCCTAGTTGAAGGCTCGCTGAAATGAAGATCATCCAGATGGGCCAGGCGAAGATGAACGCCCCTTGCTCTGTTTTTCACTCGTCAACTCGCAGATGAAGGGGGGCAGGCAAACCAAGAAATGGAGCAAATACCAAGGTGTGGCGTACTGGCCCGTAAAAAGGGTCTTGCAAACCCCTACTGTCAACAGATGCAGAACGGCGAAGTGCGTAAGCTTTTCCCGGCTCCTTGTTTGCAAGATTTCAAATGGTTCTTAGGTTAGTTTGGGGTCAAATTTCCCCCCCAAGGGAAAAAAAATTTTTCTCTCTCTCTCCTCCTCTCTCTCTGCTCCTTCTCTCTCTTCTCCCTCTCTCTTCCTCTCTCTCTCCCCCTTCCCCTCTTCTCTCTCTCCTCACTCTCTCTTTTCCTCTCTGTCTCTCTCTCTCCTCTGTTCCCCTTTTCTCTCTCTCTCTCTCTGTCCTCTCTCTTCTCTCTCTCTGCTCTCTCTCCCCTCTCTCTCCCCGTCTCTCTCTCTCCCCTTCTCTCCCCTTCTCCTTCCCCCTCCCTCTCTCTCTCTCTCTCCTTCCTCCTCTTCTCTTTTCTCTTCTCTCTCTCTTTTCTCTCTCTCTCTTTCTCCCCTCTCTCTCTTCTCTCTCTCCTCCCTCTCTCTTTCCCCTTTTTTTCTCTCTCTTCTCTCCCCCCTCCTCTCTCTTCTCTCTCTCTCTCCCCCTCTCTTTCCTTCTCTCTCTCTTTTCTCTTCTCTCTCCTCTCTCTCTTTTCCCCTTCTTCTTCCCCTCTCTCCTCCTCCCTCTCTCTTCTCCTCCTCTCTCTCTCTTCTCTCTCTCCTCTCGTCTTCTCTTCTTCCCCCTCTCTCCCCTCTGTCTCTCCCTCCTCTCTCTTATCTTCTCTCCTCTCTTCTCTCTCTTCTCTCTGTCCTCTTCTCTCCTCCCCTCCTTCTCTCCTCTCTCCTGTCCCCTCCTCCTCTCCTCCTCTCCTTCTCTCCTCTCCCTTCTCCCCCTCTACCCTCTCTCTCTCTTCTCTTTTCTCTCTCTCTTTCTCTCTCTCTCCTCTCCTCCTCTCTCCTTCTCTCCTCTTCTCTCTCCCCCGTCTCTCTCCCCTCCTCCCCTCTCTCCCTCCTCCCTCTCTCTTCTCTCTCCTCCTCTCTTCCCTCCTCTTCTTTCCCCCTCTTTTCTGTTTCCCCCTCCTCCTCTCTCTCTTCTCCTTCTCTCTCTCTCTCACTCTCTCTCTCCTCCTTCTCCTCCTTCTCCTCTCTTCTCTCTGCCTCTTTCTCTCCCCCTTCCTCTCTTCCCCTCTTGTCCCTCCCCTCCCTTTTTCTCCCCTTTTCTTCTCTCTCTCTCCTCCCCTTCCCCTCTTCCCCTTTTTTCTCTCTCTCCTCTTCTCTCCTCTCTCTCTCCTCTCTCTTTTCCTCTCTCTTCCGTCTCCTTTTCTTTTCTCTCTCCTCCCCCTCTCTCTCCCCTCCCCTCCTTCTCCCCTCTTCTCCTCTTTTCTCTGGTCCCTCTTCCCTCTCTGTCCTCCCCTCTCTCTTCTCCCCTTTTTCCTCCTTTCTGGTCTTTTTTTTTTTTCTTTATTCCCCTCACCCTAAAACTCCCAATCTTTCCTTTTTACCTTCCCCCCTTTCCCCCCCTTCCCCCTTCCCCCTTTCCCCCCTTCCCCCTCCTCCCTAAGGCTCCCCCCTTCCCCTTCCCCCCTTCCTCTCAACCCCCCAAGGTTTTTTATTTTTCAAAGGGGAGGGCCCCCTTTTTCCCCTTTTTTTCCATACCCCAGGGGGGAACCCCCCCCCCTTAATTTTCCCCCCGGGGATTTTAAAACCCCCCTTTCCCCTCATCCCCACCCCCCTTTCCCCCATCCTCCTTCCTCTCACTCCCGGAGGCATTCCCCCCCCCTTACCCCCCTTCCCCTCCCCCCTGGGGAAACAACCCCTTCCCTTATCCCCCCTTCCTCTCACCCCCGGGGGGCATCCCCCCCCCCTTTTCCCCCTTCTTCACCCCAGGGCATCCCCCCCTTTCCCCCTTCCTCCCTTTCCCTCACCCCCTGGAGCACCCCCTTCCCCTCCCCCCTCTCACCCCCGGGAAAGGGACCCCCTTCCCCCCCCTTCTCTCACCCCCCGGAAAAACCCCCTTCCCCTCCCCCCCTCTCACCCCCGGAAACATCCCCTTCCCCTTTCCCCCCTTTCCCCCACCCCCCGGAAGGGATCCCCTTCCCCCCCCCCTTCCCCTCACCCCCCGGGGGGGCATCCCCCTTCCCCACCCCTTTTTCCCACCCCCTGGAAGGCATCCCCTTCCCCTCCCCCTTTCCCCTCACCCCCGGAAGGCACCCCTTCCCCCTCCCCTTCCCCCACCCCCGGGAAAGGGATCCCCCCTTCCCCTCCCCTTCCTCTCACCCCCTGGGAAAGGGATCACCCTTCCCCTCCCCTTCCCTCACCCCCAAGGGATCCCCCTTCCCCCCCTTTCCCCACCCCCCGGAAGGGACCCCCCCTTTCCCCCCCCCTTCCTCTCACCCCCTGGGAAAGGGACCCCCTTCCCCCCCCCTTCCTCTCACCCCCCTAAGGCATCCCCCCCTTCCCCCCCCCTTCCCCACCCCCTGGAAGGCACCCCCCCTTCCCCCCCCCTTCCTCTCAAACCCCCTGGAAGGCATCCCCTTCCCCTCCCCTTCCTCTCACCCCCGGAAGGCATCCCCCCCCCCCCCCTTCCTCTCACCCCCGGAAGGCATCCCCCTTCCCCCCCCTTCCCCCCAACCCCCCGGAAGGGTCCCCCTTCCCCCCCTTCCTCTCACCCCTGGGAAGGCATTCCCTTCCCCTCCCCTTCCTCTCACCCCCGGAAGGCATCCCCCTTCCCCCCCCTTCCCTCACCCCCTGGAAGGGTCCCCCCCTTCCCCCCCCTTTCCCCTCACCCCCTTGAAGGCATTCCCTTCCCCTCCCCTTCCTCTCACCCCCGGAAGGCTCCCCCTTCCCCCCCCTTCCTCCACCCCCCGGAAGGCATCCCCTTCCCCCCCCCTTCCTCCCCCCCCTGGAAGGCATACCTTCCCCCCCCCTTCCCCACCCCTTTTTGGGGAACCCCCTTCCCCTCCCCCTTTCCCCCACCCCCCCCGGAAGGCATCCCCCCTTTCCCCCCCCCCCCTCTCACCCCTGAAGGGATCCCCCCTTTCCCCCCCCTTCCCCCTTTACCCCCTGAAGGCATCCCCCCTTCCCCCCCCCTTCCTTTCACCCCCTGGGAAAGGGAAACCCCCCCCTCCCCTTCCCTCCACCCCCTGGAAAAGGGACCCCCTTCCCCCCCCCCCCTCACCCCCCGGGAAGGCATCCCCCTTCCCCTCCCCTTCCCCCTCCCCCCAGGGGAAAACCCCTGGGAAGGGATCCCCCTTCCCCTCCCCCTCCTCTCACCCCTGGAAGGATCCCCCTTCCCCCCCCCTTCCCCACCCCCTGGAAGGCACCCCCTTCCCCCCCCTTCCTCTCACCCCCTGGAAAGGCACTTTTTCCTCTTTCTCAAACCCCCTGGGGGGGAAAAGGGGAATTTCCCCCTCCCTCCCTTTCCCTCACCCCCCTTTGGGAAAGGGATTCCCTCCCCCCCTTAACCCCACCCTGGAAGCCCCCCTCCCTCCTTCTTCCAAAAACCCCCGGGAAGGGGGGGGTCCCTTTTTCTTTCTTTACGGAAGGGGGGCGGAAAAGGGTTTAAGGGATTGGGGGAAAAGGGGTGGGCGGAAAAGGGGGGAACAAAGGGAATACTCTTCCCGCTCTCCATGCCTTGGATCTAGAGCTACTGTGTGGCTGCACGGTGCTGCAGCACCAGGTGTAGCACCTCACACCTGGTCACAGCCCCCCGGGTCACCTAACAAGCTGACAGAAGGTGCCAACAGCAGCCAGAAAAAAACGTGGAAGTGTGGGGCGGTAAACCCGTGTGTGTTGGAAGCTTGAAGTGACTTACAGGAAGTGTGGGGCGGTAAACCCGTGTGTGTTGGAAGCTTAAAGTGACTTACAGGACACATGGGAAGTGTGGGGCGGTAAACCCGTGTGTGTTGGAAGCTTAAAGTGACTTACAGGACACATGGGAAGTGTGGGGCGGTAAACCCGTGTGTGTTGGAAGCTTAAAGTGACTTACAGGACACATGGGAAGTGTGGAGCGGTAAACCCGTACGTATGTGAAGTGTATACCACGTGAAGATAGATATACATGAAGTATAGTGTATTATAAGTGTGTAAAGGAGTGTGTGGGCGCCCAGTATGCCCTCAGGGGAGGTGGTGACCGTCACGCCCACAACCTCCAGTGGTGTGGGCGTGGGCGTGGAGGAGGACAAGAGAGCAGTGTATAATGACAAGGAATATGATGAAGATCTGGCTCAGCTGGACATGTTATTACATTATGTTAACAATCTGTCAGCATCACTGGAGTTCCTGGCCTGGGAGAACAAGCGTGAGTATGTTGGTGTTATCTTAGTGGAGGAGCCATAACACTTACGTATTATATACTAGCATCACTGGAGTTACTGGCCTGGGAGAACAAGCGTGAGTATGTTGGTGTTATCTTAGTGGAGGAGCCATAACACTTACGTATTATATACTAGCATCACTGGAGTTACTGGCCTGGGAGAACAAGCGTGAGTATGTTGGTGTTATCTTAGTGGAGGAGCCATAACACTTACGTATTATATACTAGCATCACTGGAGTTACTGGGCCTGGGAGAAACAAGCGTGAGTATGTTGGTGTTATCTTAGTGGAGGAGCCATAACACTTACGTATTATATACTAGCATCACTGGAGTTACTGGCCTGGGAGAACAAGCGTGAGTATGTTGGTGTTATCTTAGTGGGGGAGCCATAACACTTACGTATTATATACTAGCATCACTGGAGTTCCTGGCCTGGGAGAACAAACGCTGTAAATTACTGGAGAACGCTGTAAATTGCTGGAGAACGCTGTAAATTACTGGAGAACGCTGTAAATTACTGGAGAACACTGTAAATTACTGGAGAACGCTGTAAATTACTGGAGAACGCTGTAAATTACTGGAGAACGCTTTAAATTACTGGAGAATGCTGTAAATTACTGGAGAACACTGTAAATTACTGGAGAACGCTGTAAATTACTGGAGAACGCTGTAAATTACTGGAAAACGCTGTAAATTACTGGAGAACGCTGTAAATTACTGGAGAACGCTGTAAATTACTGCAGAACGCTGTAAATTACTGGAAAACGCTGTAAATTACAGGAGAACGCTGTAAATTGCTGGTGAACGCTGTAAATTACTGGAGAACGCTGTAAATTACTGGAGAACGCTGTAAATTACTGGAGAACGCTGTAAATTACTGGAGAACGCTGTTAAATTACTGGGAGAACGCTGTAAATTACTGGAGAACACTGTAAATTACTGGAGAACGCTGTAAATTACTGGAGAACGCTGTAAATTACTGGAGAACACTGTAAATTACTGGTTGTCAAAGGTTGTTGGTGATACTGACTTGGTGTGTGTTCTGTGTGCGCGTGGTGAAGGCAGACAAGTTTATATAAATGTTTCTTACTCCAGTAAATTATACGACAGTGAATTTCAAGGTTCTTGTTTTTACTGTGAATGCAAGTGTGAATATGCCAGAGAGAGAGAGAGAGAGAGAGAGAGAGAGAGAGAGAGAGAGAGAGAGAGAGAGAGAGAGAGAGAGAGAGAGACAGACAGAGAGACAGACAGAGAGAGAGAAAGCTAGTTTTAACACTTAATCTCAACCCAGCACTGAGTCAACTTGCTACATTGACGTGGTTGAAGAGACTGAGATCCCACCAACCTATTTCTCAGCCTAAATTACTGGGATATTTACCCTTTCGTCAGAATATATTGTGACTTAGACATAAATTCTTTCGATTATTTCACGATTGTCTAACCAATCATGACAAGTAACAGACGTGTATATTTCAACGTTACTCAGGGCTGGTCTAAACACAGTGTTGCCATGTATTGACGAGGTTATCTGTGTATTATTGTACTTTTAATCTGTTGATACAGTGTTCGGATCCTTGGATCCATTGATACATAACATCAACACTGATACATAATGATACATAACACGTCAGTGTTGATACATAACACGTCAGTGTTGATACATAACACATCAATGTTGATACATAACACGTCAGTATTGATACATAACACATCAATGTTGATACATAACACATCAATGTTGATACATAACACGTCAGTATTGATACATAACACATTAATGTTGATACATAACACATCAATGTTGATACATAACACGTCAGTATTGATACATAACACATCAATGTTGATACATAACACATCAATGTTGATACATAACACATCAATGTTGATACATAACACATCAGTATTGATACATAACACATTAATATTGATACATAACACATCAATGTTGATACATAAGACGTCAGTATTGATACATAACACATTAATATTGATACATAACACATCAATGTTGATACATAACACGTCAGTATTGATACATAACACATTAATATTGATACATAACACATCAATGTTGATACATAACACATCAATGTTGATACATAACACGTCAGTATTGATACATAACACATCAATGTTGATACATAACACATTAATGTTGATACATAACACATCAATGTTGATACATAACACGTCAGTATTGATACATAACACATCAATGTTGATACATAACACATCAATATTGATACATAACACATCAATATTGATACACAACACATCAATACACAACACATCAATATTGATACACAACACATCAGTATTGATACACAGCACATCAGTATTGATACATAACACATCAATACACAACACATCAATATTGATACACAACACATCAGTATTGATACACAACACATCAATACACAACACGTCAATATTGATACACAACACATCAATATTGATACACAACACATCAATACACAGCACATCAATATTGATACACAACACATCAATACACAGCACATCAATGTTGATACATAACACATCAATACACAGCACATCAATACACAACACATCAATACACAACACATCAATACACAGCACATCAATATTGATACACAACACATCAATACACAACACATCAATATTGATACACAACACATCAATACACAACACATCAATACACAACACATCAATACACAACACATCAATACACAACACATCAATATTGATACACAACACATCAATACACAGCACATCAATGTTGATACATAACACATCAATACACAACACATCAATACACAACACATCAATACACAACACATCAATACACAACACATCAATACACAGCACATCAATATTGATACACAACACATCAATACACAACACATCAATATTGATACACAACACATCAATATTGATACACAACACATCAATACACAACACATCAATACACAGCACATCAATATTGATACACAACACATCAATACACAACACATCAATACACAACACATCAATATTGATACATAACACATCAATACACAACACATCAATACACAACACATCAATATTGATACACAACACATCAATACACAACACATCAATACACAACACATCAATACACAACACATCAATACACAACACATCAATACACAACACATCAATACACAGCACATCAATATTGATACACAACACATCAATACACAACACATCAATACACAACACATCAATACACAACACATCAATATTGATACACAACACATCAATACACAACACATCAATATTGATACACAACACATCAATACACAACACATCAATATTGATACACAACACATCAATAATGATACACAACACATCAATATTGATACACAACACATCAATATTGATACACAACACATCAATACACAACACATCAATACACAACACATCAATATTGATACACAACACATCAATATTGATACACAACACATCAATATTGATACACAACACATCAATACACAACACATCAATACACAACACATCAATAATGATACACAAACACATCAATAAATTTATACACAACACATCAATATTGATACACAACACATCATACACAACACATCAATACACAACACTCAATATTGATACCAACACATCAATACACAACAACATCAATTACACAACACATCAATATTGATACACAACACATCAATACACAACCATCAATACACACACATCATATTGATACACAGCACATCATACACAACACATCAATACACAACACATCAATACACACACATCATATGATACATAACACATCAATACACAACACATCAATATTGATACCAAACACATCAATACACAACACATCAATATTGATTTCACAACACATCAAATTACACAACACACAATTGATACACAACACATTAATACAACACATCAATACACAACACATCAATATTGATCACAAAAAACACATCAATACACAACACATCAATCAACACACATAATAAAACACACTCAATCACAACACATCAAATACAAAAACACATCAAACACAACACATCAATATTGATACACAAACATCAATACACAACAACATCAATACAAAAAACACATCAATACACAACACATCAATATTGATACACAACACATCAATACACAACACATCAATATTACACAACACATCAATACACAACACATCAATATTGATACATAACACATCAATACACAACACATCAATATTGATACATAACACATCAATACACAACACATCAATACACAACACATCAATACACAAACATCAGTACACAACACATCAATAACAACACATCAATACACAACACATCAATACACAACACATCAATACACAACACATCAATACACAAACACATCAATACACAACACATCAATACACAACACATCAATACACAACACATCAAATACACAACACATCAATACACAACACATCAATACATCACACACAATTTCACAACACATCAATACACAAACACATCAATACACAACACATCAATACACAACACATCAATACACACACAACATCCAAAAGACACAACACATCAATAATCTACAAGTAACACATCAATTACACAGACATGAATCAATATATACAAACACATTAATACAAACACATAATACACAACACTATCAATACACAACACATCAATACACAATCAACACAAAATCTACAACACTAAATTATACAAGAATGATTACACTAATTTTAAAACTTTCTACAAACAATGCAGACACAGAAAGCATTACCTCTCTCCACAATTTCATTCACTTAAGTTGGAGACATTGTCCAAAGGGATGTCAAGAGACCTTGTGTCTAACATCAGGCGTAAAAACTGGGCGGGGAAATAGCCAGATGGCGTATGTCTAGCGTCACTGTCGTGAGTCTTGCGTCACAGATGTCGTGATGTTTGCGTCACAGGGATTGTCGGATGTCTTGCGTCACAGATGGAGTGATGTCTTGCGTCACAGA